TATAAAGGGTAGCATTGAGTACCCCGAACTCCATGCCAGATATATAAAACCAGATTTCCTACCCTCCTGAATAATAGTAAAAGACAATACAACCATAATAACTCATACATAGAACGTGTCTATTCAGATCATATCCTAGTTGAGTTCACACACTACTTCATAAATGTTGTATCACAACTCTCCCCCCCCAAGAACACCCCAGGAATACATGTGTTATTTAACTATGTAGAGTTGTCTGACCACTTATTTGACCATCACTACATGTTCTGGCTCTTCTTTGAATCCTGACTATTCATACGAAACAATAAGGAAAGGTCTAATGAGAACTGTAGAATTGCTCTGCATACTGTGCGAACTGGAATGTGCACATGTTCTTCGTACTTGACTCCTGAATGAAAAGGATTCTTCTTGCGACTTTCATTACATTGGCACAAAGGGACACAGTGCCTGCATACGCTAAAAACCCTTATACCGAATAAAAATCATATACGAACAGGAACTATTGATACATCTTCATCCGAACGGAACTTTACAGCAATTACTCCGTCTGACAATATCTTTGAACGCCTAGGTTATTATTCAAAACTTCCGTGAAATCTTGACACACCAAATGAGAGGACGTCACCCATGGAAAAATTGTCAGAGTACCGGTGAGGATTCTGAAATATTTAAGTGCACATCTAAAACGTGGTAGCTCCGTCAGGAATCAAAATCCGCAGCAGGTAGGAATGCATCAATATCAACTTCTATTGCAGTTCTCAGTGTTGAAAGATTGAAAGCAATGACACCGGGTATAGACACGGAAAATATAAATGTAAAATAAGTAAAGATTCGGAAAGTATACTTACCATCCGAACTATTCAATTTCCTGATATTGTACATGCAGATTGGAGGCCTCCTGCATCGGATCCCCCAGCCGCGGATATTATCCGAAGGGCGTCACTGGCAATTCCTTCTATGAGTAGGTTCACTGTATTTTATCCACCTTCAGTTGTCCTTTACGTATCAATTTATGCAGATCTTCCACAATTCATCCCACATAGATTCTGCGCTGTGGGGAGTAAACAGTGTCCTTAAGTGCAAGGAATCCTCCCCCCTCTGTCTCATTCTGCTTACTATTTTGGGGACACGGAATTGCAAATCCTAAGCACCCCTCGTTCGCGGTGTAGCTCTGCCAAGACGACATAATGATGCTATTGCCTTTATTGAGGTGTCAGCTATTACCTTAACCCTGGCGGGTGTCCTTACAAAGGTTACTCCCGTTATGGAAGTATAAATATATGTATATGTATGCACACAGGAAAAATATCATCCCGTGCGCCGTTGTCAGTATTTAAGCAACGCTGCGAAGCCGAAGCTAACCCGTTGTGCCAACTCCTTCCTCTAGGGCAGTACAAACTATCAAAATTCTTGTCTGCCCCCAAATACAAAAAGTGCAAAGCCAGAAAAAAGGTACAGAGAGAGATAGCAAGGTGTGGCCAGGACTGCCAAAAAAAGAAGGATATATCATATGATAATGACGACGTACCATTGCGCGACCTTGAATATGAGTAGTTAATATGTAATTAAGACATCCCAAAGAGTGTATACATGCAAAATGAAAAACAAACGTTCCGTAGAAGATTCTATATATACATACAGAACTTTTAGATGAATCAAAAAAGAAGAATGCGAATAGACAAAAGAATATTTCCTCCAAGTAGTCGTCCACACATTTATGATAAATGAAGATCTGACATGTGAAATTATTTGACGGAGCAATATAATCTGGAGATATGCGCACAACTGTGGGGATCTTTACATACCAAAACATTAGTGGCATAGTTTCGAACATAAATACTCGTATATTTTTGATATGTTGAAAGAGAATAATTAGTTCCACAATTTACAGGAAGGACTCAGAATGGAAGAACAATGCGTTCAAGGACATGTAATGTCCGAAAAGAATCAATTTAACGAGGAGCCACAGAATCTTTTCATAAAAACACAAGGAAGTGTATATAGCAATTAGGTTTCAAAACAGCCCATACGTAGGAAACAGTACATTCCAGATAGTTTGTCTGATAAAGTTATCAGGCTCTACCGAAAAAACACAACCGAGTATGTAATACATGAGACGACGAATAACACGTCAGGAACAAATTGCCATAAAGAGAGACAGGAGGTGCATAACCACGAATTGTGTGTAATTACAGATGAAGAAGTAGACATGGAAATGTCCATACCGCTCTTCATGAT